TCTGTGAGCCGTGATAATCTTTTTTTCGTGAGGATTCGGCTTTGGAAATTGCCTCGGTGGTTCGTCGGCATCCAACCACTGTCCGGAACGTCTCCTGTTATCATACATGATCCACTTTTCATCACAGGTGACAATTCGGTCCAAAAACGGGTCGTTTCTGTTGCGCAAAAGCAGTGAAGAAGAAACCTCGAGACGTGCCAATTTCTGCCGGTCACTCAAATTGTGGGGCACCCACTTGTCGAGTTTTTTCACCTTCCCAATGCCCTTCTCCTTTTCGTCCTATGCTTTGCCCTTTTCCCTAGTAGTGTTAACAGATGAATAAAGTGAGGTAAACTATGAGTCAATCTGAATAAAAGACTCTACCCGTTGGAATCCACAACTGTAACCTTCGTGCTACCTCCATCGTCGGCTACACATGAATGTACCTTAACATAGATAATCTTTGTGTGTACTGTAGCAATGTAGATGGTATGGTCATACCTGCATACAGTAAATAGTGCTGTGAATCGGATCGCCGCACGTCCATAGATGGACCACCGAGTCACCAATAGTAACAACGGCTGGAGAATTTCCTCCCGCCGAAGAGTTTGAACTCATCTCCACTTTGTATTGGCATGAAGGAAGGGGGATCGGCTCAGATGCCAGCGGTGACGGCGACTGAGAACTGGAATCGGTGAACATTCAAACGATTCAAAGCAAAGTAAGAACGAACTGGTTGTGTGCTGCTGATTGCCAAATCGAAATATTGTAAAAAAAAAGCTGAGAGAAAGATCAAAACTGGAGATCTCCATGTTATCCACTATCAGTGCCACTGAGAGACTGAGTTTTCCACCATACTATGGAACATAGGTCGAGTGGATTTGAAGGCAGTGTTTTTTTTCTGAGAGGGAAGGGGGTCTGGTGCCTGTCAACTTCTTACTGTGGATTGGAGACCTTCATTGACTTCAGCAAAACTGAAACGTTAACAATGCAACCTGAGATGATCCCGATTACTACGCACCCATTGGGCGTGGGGAGAAAGCGATCAGCAGCCTTTTCCACGAACTGATGCTGTTTTCAGCCTGCAGTGAGTGGTGGAAAAGACTACTGTCACTGTGCTTCAGTCCACGCCTCCTCGCACGCCCTCTTCTTTGAAAAGATGAAAAGTGCGCGTGTGCGTTCAGCGCATCGGCGCAGACCGGCCTTAACGGCAGTGTGCGAATAAGAGAGCACAGTTGGCAAAACGTTGACGAACTTATGAACCTTATGCCCGAACTTAACTTGCCCATAAGCAAACTGCACATCTTTTAGACGCGGTAGGGATGGCTGCCCTTCAATCGAGCATAGCGTCATGATCCTGTTCGTCAATAGTTCTATCCAGTAAAAGTAAAATTAGCAAACGTAACTTTGAGAAATTCAGTTGTTTTTGTTTCAAAGTCTAAAAATTTTTCAAAGTCACTCTGAAGGCTGATTACATTTATTCTTCTTCTTCTTATTCTTCAGCGTTTGTCCCGCTCTGTAGCGGGGTCCGCTCTCCTGATTTTGTTACGCCATTTATTCCGGTCGAATGCCTGATCAGGGTGAGCACCAACTATCTTTAAATCCGCGTGCAGCGTGTCAAGCCAACGTTGCCTAGGGCGTCCTTTAGCGTTTGCCGAGCACCTCGAGCTGGGAGCCGTTTGCGGACGCTGTCTTTATTCGCGCGGAGTACGTGGCCATACCATCGAAGTCGAGATTCTCGCATTTTATCAGCTATGGAAGCTACGCCGAGCATCTTGCGTATGTCATCGTTGCAAATCCGATCCATACGGGTGACACCGGCCGTCCAACGTAGCATTTTCATCTCCATCACACTAAGGGGCGGCTTCGACTCCTTGGTTCAGTGCCAGCACCCAGCCCCCGTGGGCACAAACGCTACAGCGTCCTAAAGGGCGCACAATTCTGTAAATGTTCGATTTGAGGTGCCTCCGGGTTATGTCCTCCGTCATCGAGCGCCATATCGGCCCATGCTTGCACTCACAAGCGGAATCCACCCTCGATGGTCAACTGTCATCGGACACAATTTCTGACCCAAGGTACTTGAAGGTTCTTGTGCGTGTGTGAGCTCCATGCCACTGATCCTGATGGAATCGGACTCATTTGTAGTCAGCTCAAGTACTTCTATTATCTTTTGATGCTCAACTTCAGTCCGCAAAAGCTGATTAATTCATTATGTCTTTAATGATTTATTAAGAGGTCAATTAAAAGAAGTAGCTCAGTTCCGTTTCAAGTAATTACCCACACTGGCAAAACCTGATCAACAACTCTCTCAAAATGACAGGAATCCACACAACAAGAGCAGCCGGCGCAGTGTCCAAACGAAAGATGGCCACGCCAACGTCAATCCAGGAGTACAAGCGGGATGAATTCGCCTCCTCCTGCTGCCTTTTCTTACCCAAAGTGATTGACTAATCACATGAACTGGAAGAAAACAAGCTGGTAAAAAGCTTTCAAATGTGGCTCATTCTATGCCGCTTGACACCATCCTGAATTGACCGCGATGCGCCTACTAATGAGTTCCGTGGACGCGCTTTCTGCAAGTGCAAAGACAGCTCTTAAAGGCAGCGTCCGCGATCAACCAAAGTGAAAAAACCCTCCAATGAAAACGAACGCGGAGTACGCAACCACAGCGGAAATCCCACTCTTGCGGCTCGAAATCAGATGGTGAGGGCGTTACGAGGTCAACAAGGCTGAGCTGACGCCTCCTTTCCTGTTAATCCCGCCCCGACTGGTTAACAGTTATCAGTGCTTGCTGGCATTGATAAACGCTAAGTTTCTGGAGTTCCGAGGCCGCGACGTGTATTGGAGAACTCAACAAAGGTCTGCGAAACTCGTCCACATGCCTTAAATTTCGTAGGGTCTTATTTTCACCTCCTCTGCACACCTTGTTTCCTTACTTTTTTTTGTATTAGTGTTAATTGGCAACCTTATTCTAACAAAATTTGACCCCTGAGACTGCCAAAGTCCATCAACGGGCACCGTTTTTAAGATCTAGAATTCACTGTGGATCCGCTCAGAGTTGCATCTGAATACAGGTCTGCCTTCAAATTGGAAGACACAGGCCCCCGCGTCGAGTAGTACCATAGTCGTCCTTCCTTTGCAAGTACGTACAGCCCCAGGCTAAGGACTTTCCTCTTATTTGACTCCACAGTGAGCGGGAGGAGCAGGCTACAGGCCGCACAAATTCTAGTTCTAAACGCCCTCAGTTGGCCGCCTTACTTCGCTTAGATTCCCTCCACGCGGCCACTTCACTTGCTCTGAGTGTGGGCGGCGCGGCATTAATTGGGAATTGCATCTTCTTTGTGTACCGCACTCTCCCATGATAATTCTCTCCTTTATTACAGTTTACTCAGTGGGGCATATACATTCAACTCAACCCATTTCGCGAGGTGAAACGCGTAAAAATCACGAGTGACGCAATTTTCGTGGTGCAAAAGCTCGACGCACTTCAGTGCACTAAAATGTGCGCTACCGTTAACCCAAAAGAGTCGGACGCGCCATTCTTTCCCACAGCTGCGGCTGTGTGCCATTGCGTACACTGCGGAGCTACAGTAACCTCACGCCTAGTTCCATTACTCGTTAGGACGTAGCATCTTAATGAATTTTGGTGATTATGACTGGAAGAGTGACATCTACGAGTATTTCAGTCCTAGAATCTTCCTGTGCAGTAGGCCTCATGTGGTAGTTTTTGAGGGGAGAAAACGGCGATTAGCATTAACCGAAAGATACCTATATCGCGTAGTTTACATACGCATAAAGGGATCAAACGCATTACGAGGTAGAAAAATTAAAAGAAGCGAGTACAACAGTGGCAGACTAATTCTTTCAAGGATAACAGGTGTCAGTCCACAGAGGTCCTTCTTGAAAAAAATTTACATAAAATGGAGTAGAGCATTGAGTGATGAGTGACTACATGAATATACATTCACTACTCCCAACCAAGGATTGCTCCCACGGTTTCTCCACGTTCCATATTGTTTGGGGAGCGTGGCAAGTCCCCGGTTTATCCAGCCGTACGCTTTCGCCTCTCGCCGTGATCATCATAGTCAGGCACTTGTCAAATCGCTGGTCTAGAGAGTGAGTTGAGCAAAACGGTGATAAAGAAGCACAGTAACTTTACAGGACATGTTTACCGTTCCCAAGAGGAATTACCGTTTTCGTGTTGATGGTGTACCTTTTCCTCCCGGCAGGACTTTCAGGATCCTCATTGTTTGCGCCCTGACTTTCGTAACTTCGAAAAGTTTGCCGAGGGATATGTCATTGTTAGAGTTTATGAAAAATTCTTATTTCCAGTCCGCCCCACAAAAATAAGAAGCTGCAATCAATGATGGACTATGGCGCAATCGCAGTATGTACAAGTACTCTATTACACAACCGCTATCTTTTCACATATATTAACAGAATAACACATAGAGTCCGCTATTCCTGCCCTTCAGTGCTTTAATGGTGAGGAAATGGTGACCGAAAGAAGTATTCGCAACACCTGCATTCCCCACTGCGCTCAAATATAGACGCATTCCCACGAGGTCTCTCCTCGACATTGAATAAAACTAGGCGTGAGGTTACTGTAGCTCCGCAGTGTACGCAATGGCACACAGCCGCAGCTGTGGAAAGAATGGCGCGCGAGTCTGACACCCGAGCTTTTAAGGAAACGCGCGAAACTCCGCCCACCCGGACTGTTACCATCCGCGCGACAAAATTTGAATCAAAACTGCAGTTAAAGTATCTCCGCGCGCGCAAATTTGAACACAAAGTACTAATAATAAAATTACTATACTCGAAATTTATATTATCCGGAAAATCAGCATCGGTCTCATCATCCACAAGGACACTAGGCAAGCCAATATGAAAGGCCGAAAACGAAAACACCCACTTATTGAACCACTACTCCAAGAAACTCAAATATTTTTTCGCCGAAAACGTCGCCTATTTATGTAGTTCAATGCCCTGAATGCCTCAGCGAACATCTCACAATCGCTTCGAGCGCTGGGGCCATTGTGCGTCATGGTGCCACGTCGTTTCGTAATCAGGACCTCAAATAACCACTAGATACAAGTTTTCACCGATTTCGGTGGAAAAGATGATTGCGCCAAGTTGGCGATAATGGCGCCGTGTCAGCGCTCGAATGTGATATTCGTGATCAGGGCATCGAATTACATCTATAGGCGTCGTTTTACCGAGGAAAAAATCTTGAGTTTTTGGGGTAGGAATAGTTCAATAGTGCCCAAATATTTTGAGGTTGGCATAAGTAGGTATTCGTGATTATTGATTCTGAGAGACCAGGCGAAGTGACAGTGAAATGTTTGAAGTGTACCTTTTACAAGACCTGTTGTCATCTGGACCCTGCTGTATTAACACGTTGACGACGATGGCAGACAATGGTGTCTGCCAATGTATTGTTCTAATAATAAAGATGTACGAACAGCCAAGTTTGCTGGAAACTTATCCCTGGGGGTAGCTTGTCCCTCTGAAGTGGGTACCACAGTCGCTTGGCATTTGGTGGTTTATGGTACCATAAATCACCAAATTCGCTGAAAACTTGTCTCCTGGGGCAGCTTGACCCCGTGAACACGAATATCACAATCGTTTGCCACGAAACCGCCTGGCGCCCGTGCCACAGGCGCCGGCGCCAAAATGTCCTAGATCATCGAATTCGCTGAAAA